TGAATATATCACATTAAAAATATTAATGATACCAAATTGATACGGCGAAAACGTAGTATAAAGGAAGAAAAATACATTTTTTACTTTACATCTATACTGCGGTGGTATAAGATAGATTGAAATTTCACACCTGATAGTACCGCATCATTGAATCGCCCCCTTGCCTCTAGACACGTAGGAAGATGACTTAAGCAGGCTACGGCTCCATGGTATTTAAGGACCCAAACGCCAGGATCCGAAGGCGAAAGCTAATCGAAAATATAACCCCATTTTCTGAGGGTGGATTCCACGAGTGCAGCTTTCGATATATGATATTAAAATAAAGGTACCGGATTGATCAGTACAACTGTTGCATTGCCTTTGTCAGCCTTCACTACGACAGTGGAGTAGTCGAGTTTCAGCTCTTTCATATATTGTGATTCGCGTCTTGTAAGATTGTTTTGCACCTTTGGGTGTCATCGGTTTACTAGTTCTTCCGTTTTCTGCTACAGCTGTAAGATTCTCCAAGATTTTACTTCACTTACTGTACTCATCCTACTTTCACATTCATGAGTGACCACCACCTGCTGTGTGTATTCGTCGAGTAGTCGAAGCTCGCTGCTTCCTTTCAGAAGCAAGGACAGTTTTGACTTCATCTACGTGTTGAGTGTTCGAAACGCGCTCGAGTTCATTTGTACTTTGTAGGTTTATTTCAGCTCTTCTGTTAGCTGAGACAAGCAACCTCGGGCACACGTTCTGTTGCGCCATTAATGCTTGAATCGTTTAGCCCGTCCTCGTTGACCATGGCTTAAAAGACTTTGGGCTGTCGACAGCTGTACACTTTTGTTGAAGTTTTGCAAGTCATGTTTCGAACGTGGTTTGGAGTCTGCGTTGAAATGTGACCTAGTTTATTTCCGTCCGATTAAGTCTTCGGTTTGACCTATTCGGTTATTAATTATTGATTAGTATTTTTAATCACGTTGGTGTGCGTATTTCTAAAAGGATGTTTTTCTGATTTGTTGAGAACACTGGTGACGATGCTTCTTGTTTCAGTACTGGAAATGGCACGTGGCGGTTTTAACGTCCGAGGTAGCCGTGTTCTTTGTGG